GCCCGAGCCAACATAAAACGAACCCCTTTTCCGTCTCAATCCAATACCCGTGCCACTCGCCTTCTCGAGCGCATTCATTCTGACATCTGCGGTCCACTTCCGCAGAGCTACGGAAACTCCAGATACTTTATTTTATTCATTGATTGTTATTCTCGTTACACGTCCGTTTACTTCATGAAAAATCGCGATGAAGCACTCCAACACTTCATCGACTTTCGTACCCTCGTTGAGAAGCACCTTAACAAGTCCATTTCCACCCTCCGAGTCGACAACGCTCCTGAATATGTCGAAGGACGATTCAAGGAATATACCACGTCAGCCGGCATTGCTTACGAGAAGACAGTCCCATATTCGCCAAGTCAAAATGGTGTTGCAGAACGTATGAATTATACACTTGCCTGTATGTCTCGAGCCATGCTTGTAGACGCCGATCTCAAGGACTGGTTCTGGCCCTTTGCCGTACAAGCCTCTGTCCACATCAAAAATCGCGTCCCATCTACCTCACTTTCCCCTGACACCACACCATTCGAATTGTGGTTTGGCTATAAACCAAACCTCTCACACCTACGAATCTTCGGCTCACATTGCACGTCACGCATCCTCGGCGTAAACCTCTCAAAGTTCAATCCGTGTGGCGAGTCTGGACGTTTCCTTGGCTATGCAAAGGATGCAAAAGGGTACCTCATCTGGTTCCCTTCGTCGCATACAGTTAAAGTCCGTCGTGACATCGTATTCCACGATACCGAAACACAATCCGAGCCATCCAATGCTCATAACAGTCCCGGAAGTGTTTCTCCCCTCTGGGATGAAATTTCCCCCGTACCCCATGTCACTCGTAACCCGTACCCCGGTGGGGCGTATCCGTATGTTACATAACACCTCGTAACAGTCCCATAATACTCACATACTCGTACCCGTATCCGTAATAGTAACCAACCCCCTGACGAAATCTCTGCAGAACCCATACCAGTTCCCGTACCAATCCCCAGTACTAGTCAGGAACCACCAACAGAAACCGTGCCACACCATCCTAATCCACTCCCCAGTTCACGTCCAAACCGTCAGTCCAAACTACCATCAAAATATACCGATTTTGTACCAAGCGACGATGCTCTCGTTCAATCGCTTCTAGCTCTAGAAGATGGCGACCATGAGCTTCAGATACCTCTCTCGGACCTAGTCGACATACCCTGTGCATTCAATGCTGTCATATCCGCCGACTCTGTCCTTGATAATAGCCAACCCCTTACTCCAATCCCCACTGACGAACACATACCCGACCCTGCAAATATTCAGGAAGCACGTCGCTCCGAGTACTGGGGCAACTGGCAAGCTGCATTGCATGAGGAGTTAGAATCTTTACGAGCAAAAGATGTATACGAAGAGGTGGATGAATTACCTGCCGGCCGTAAAGCCGTAAAGTGCAAGTGGGTACTGCGGATCAAACGTGACAAGGACAACCACGTCTCTCGCTTCAAAGCTCGCCTCGTCGCAAAGGGTTTCACCCAAATACCCGGCCAAGACTTCACATTCACGTTTGCACCTGTTGCCCGATGGGATTCCATACGTTCCGTGCTATGCATAGCCGCATTAAACGACCAAGAAGTCCGCCACCTCGACGTCAAAACAGCCTACCTCAATGGCCCGTTAAATGAGGAAATTTACATGATGGCGCCGGAAGGTTTTGGGAAGCGATACTGGCGATTGAAGAAAGGACTCTACGGTCTACGTCAAGCGGGGAGGGCGTGGTACTTCACTCTGCATGACGCATACGTAGAGCTTGGTTTCAATCGCTGCGAGTCGGACTGGAGTGTCTACACTCGGAAATCCAAGTCCGGAATGTCCACCTGCGCAACGAGTGTCGACGACATCATTCTTACTTCAGACTCCAAAACCGAATCCGACCTCGCGACAAAACAAATCGAGTCAAAATTCAGCATCACAGACAGCGGCGATGCGGAATGGGTTCTCGGGTGTCGGATTACCAGATGGAGAACTCGACGTTCTCTCATGATTGACCAAGCGCAATACATGCAATCAATACTCCGTGAATTCG